ATTATAGTTATGTTTTTATGATTGGTAGTAAAATTTTCTAGAAAATTAATACAATCGGTAAATCGATCGTATTGCTGGAATTATAGATTAGCTACATTTTATTAATCAATCATTTTAAAGTTAAAGTTAATGTTTTTTTATAAGCATGATTTTGATGAAATTACATGAAAAATGTTAATAAAGATGTCAATTGTTCTAATTGTTTTGTAATTTAAAAAATGCATCTATATCATATATGTATAAAATATAAAAATTTCAAATTTCGATATATTTTTAAGAATTGACACATGAAATTATGTAACAGATATATTATTTGTTAGATTAAAAGTATTAAAGTCTTATTAGAAGAGATAGTATCATTATTGATTTCGTTTTATCAATGAGTCATTTAACGAGAAAATTTTATGTCATAGATAACATTTTTAACTGTTAAAAATTATAAAAAAAAATATTTTTACAATTTATGTTTTTTTTCTCTATTTAATTTGAATTATCATTATAATAAATTTGTATAAAATACGGAATATAGATAATTCAAATTTATATATTTTTTTTTCTTCAAATGAGGTTTTAGCATTCTTTATTAAAAGTCCATTGAACTAACACTTAGCTTATACATGGAACATGACCTAAATTCATCTACGGACGATTGTAAAAGCGGTGTACCATCTATAGTACCCTCAATGTCAACCGGTTGATATTGTGCAATGTGATGTAATAAGTTGCTGTCATAGCTTTCAATCAGATATTTATATATAGAAACTTAATAAACATTCCGATTAAAAATCATCATTAAATGAAAAATATTATTAAATATTAATAAATAATCTTTTATGAAATATTTTTATAAAATTTATATTATATTTATTAAATTAATTCACATTGAATTATTATTTATCTTTGAAATTGTTATATATTGTAGGTATGCGGGTTAGGTATTCTAACTCTCGGTGTTTTGGTACATCTACAAGTATTAGGAGTAAATAAGCAAATCGAAACTGGTCTTGCGTTTCCAGCGATAACATTGATCGTTCTTGGCAGTATAATCTTTGTAATATCATTTTTCGGATGCTGCGGTGCTATCCGAGAAAGTCATTGCATGACAATTACCGTAAGTATATATTATTATACATAATAATTTAAATTTCACTTATTATTTAATTACGAAGTTTAATTTTTTACTTATTTTCAGTTTGCGTCGTTTCTCCTGTTTATTTTGCTCGTGCAAATAGCAGTTGCCGTTTATGCCTTTATAGTTGTTCAAAATGATGATAATTTCCGCAATATATCAGAGAAATATCAGGAGATATTTAATGGTTATTTTTACAACAAAGATAACAAAGAGTTTATTGATCTTGTTCAGAAAAATGTGAGTATCATTATTATTTCATAACATCATTTATATTAAAACGAAAAAGAGATGGAGAAATTTTTATAAATTTATCGTTAAATGAAAAAAATACTTAAATGAGAAATAATTTTTGGCAGTTGAATTGCTGTGGTGTCCACTCTTCAAATGATTATAAAGACCATTCCATTCCTGCAAGTTGTTGTAATGTTATTAAAAATCAAACTTGCTCTATAAGTGATACATTTACACGTGGTTGTGTAGAAGCATTAAAAGATACACTCACATTAGCCGGAACCGTTTTTGGCAGTGTCGCTATTGCTGTTGCCGGTGTTGAGGTGAGTTTATTTTATATATTATTTTATAAATTTTACAAACGACTTAAATCCAACAAGTTTTAAACAATTATCAATGTATCATATCATATCATGTATATATTTACGCTGTTATTTATAGCTATCATTTTTTTGTATATATATTATTATAAAGCAAACATATAAAATGAATAATTTTATTGTTTCAGTTAATTGGCATTATTTTCGCACTTTGCCTGGCAAATTCTATAAAAAACGCTGAACGCAGAGGTTATAGAGTGTGAAAGTTCAACAAATATTAAAAGAAGTATATATTGAAAAAACATAATAATTGATAACACTACCATTAATAATTTTATCTAAAAACAGTGATAAAAAATACTATTATTTTGTATTGAAATAAATTTAAATAGTTTTATAAATGAAAAAGAAAAAGAAAATATCTTTTATTTTATTTTGAGCATAGTTTCGTTTAAATTTATATGTTGGTATGTGATATCAAATGTATAAATACATTATTTAATATATTTTTAATTTTGGTACATTTTCATTAAATTGATTATATTTTTTTATATATAAGAAATAAAGTTATTGTAATAATAATAATAATTTAATAATTTACGTTAATAATAGTCGGTGCAAAAAGTTTTTAAAGACTTAATAAGTTTTTTGTTAAATAATTTTTGTACTCATTACGTATTATTTAATTATTTTTGTGCACATGATTAGTAAAAATAATTAATAATTGAAATATTAAATTTTTTAAAATATAACTTATAATTTGTCAAATTAAAAATTATAAAGTATTCTAGTAAATTTAATTACAATTGATTATATATAGCCTTGCGAATATCATAGAAAAGTATTTTTATAACAATTTTTAATAAGTATTACACATCTTGCTTACATCTGCTTTTATAAAATACAATTTATATTTTTATTTGTACAGCACATATTCATTATACTGTATTCACGATTTTCAAAAGATAATGTCAAATTATATATTTTTCTTGTAATAAAATTTATTTTATCTAAATATTTAAGATTATTAATGTATAATTTTCTATTTCCCTAAAGTTTTTGAAAAAAATTTTGATTTTTTTTTAAATTTAATCATATTTTTATTTATAGTAATTTTATTACCATAATAGTTTTATTTGCAAATGAAACATCGATATAGTGAAATTATCTTTATTATTCAATAAAATGTTCATCTATTTTAATATCTTAATAGATGATCGAATGAATTGATAATTTTATATTTCAATAATATCTTTATAGGAACGGTTTTCTAAATTAAACATCGAACATGCGCTTTTACATTTGTTATATTGTCATTATTTATTAAGTTCAAGAGAGGATAACTTACATCTGTTGTGCTATAATACATATTATTTACAATGTCTTAATCACGAGTTTATATTTATTAATGAATTTATTCTCAATTGGGATAAATCAGTGTCTTCAATGATCGCATTTTCGATATAATGCAACTTACACGTATCTTATATCTATTATTAAATGATTATTTTGAGACTGTAAGACAAAAGTTGTTTTTGTTTGGAACTTCTTCGTTGTAATTATTATATATTAAAATTGCAATATGATAAATTTCTATAATTTATCATATATTCTATAATTTATTAAATATAAACAATAATAACATAATATTGAATTTTAGTTTATATGCTTATATTTTTTCTTATTTACTTTTAACATACAAAGAACTATTCTTGTCTATGTATATGTATATAGTAAGAAATGTGTAAAAATGGATAAATGGAAGAAAAACAACTTTATATTCATACAGTCTCCATTTCAAATATTGAAAATATTCATCGTATTTTAATATATATATATGTATAATCTATATATATATATATATTAAATATATATATCTACGTGTAAAATATGTATTTCAATTTTTATCGACTTGATACCTTAAATGGACTATTTTATTTTTATTCTTGTATTGATCAAACGCAAATTAGTTTTTAGTTTATCTCAAATTATATTTTTGAAATAGTGTGAATCTTGTACAAATTGTGACGAAATGTCTACTTATTTGATACGGCGTTTTGATCATAGTATTACTATTTTTTTTTATTGAGTTTTTCACTTATAATTATTTCTATCATCTATAACTCATGCACTGAATGCATGTTAAATATATCCGTTTGAATTTGAACTTCTTCTATTTTACAATTGATAAGTAATACATTTAATTCAATATATTTTCGTTGAAGACGGAACAGAAGGTTGTACGCGTTTATAACGTGCATGTAATATCTATGTGTTTCATATAAACAATAGAATATTATGGTATGTCTCAACATTTATTCGTCGACGAGAAAGAGTACAAATTTGTATTCATACAAAATCGTCGAAATACTCTTAATCTAAATTTTTTCTAAGCTCAATTTCGGAAGATGATTCGCGATATCGCGTTACATTTAAATTATACATTTCCATTTGAAAAATGTAGAAACATCTATCTAAATAAGTCTCTTAAATTCTTTAAATTTTGTTATGAAATGTGTATGTTTTAAAAGAGTAAATTAAATGTGCGTAATAGAAATAGATTTCATCACCTGATATCTTATGATCTTGTTAAACAAGATCGTAATGGAAGTACTATTTGAAATATTCAAGTATACAATAAAGTACAGTAATCATAGTTCCAGTCTATGATATTCCTTTTATCATGTTAATTTATATATACTATACATATTATGCTAATAGTGTTCTTAGATCACTTCTTGCATAATGTTATTCATTTAATGTTACGTGTATAGTATAATAATTAAGAAGTCTACTTCCATCTTGTGAGCAAGAGTATAATAAATCGATTTATGAGTTTACAAAGATTTATGAGTTTTTTAATTATACCATATATAAATTTAATAAATAAAAAAAAAAAACATTATTGAAATTCAATCAAGATTTTATACAAAGCCAAGCATCAATATTTTGAAAAGAAAATAACTTTTAAAAATGTTATGAAATTTTTTCATAAAAACTAAATAATATTTTTTATTTTAATACATGTTATACAAGATGCAAATAGATAATGAACGATTATTCTTATTTATAAGAAAATCAATATTTTATTTACAGATTATTTGAATATTTGAATTTAATAACAAATAGCAAATATAATTGGATACCACAAAAAGTACAACTTGTACACCTTGAGAACTTCCATTATAAATAGGCAAACGATAATATCTACACAGAGTCATTTATTTAATTGATTTATGCAATATTTATTTTTATATTAAAAAAAAAGAGACATAATTGAAAATAATAATACAAAAAAATTTTTTTTAATATTTTTGAATATTTTTTTATATTTCATGTTATAAAAAACTAGTATATAGTCAAAAATTTATTTCAAAGCTTTTCAAAATGCTTTAACAAAAATAAATAGATATCGTCACAATTAAACTATACTGACCCTCAGCAAAACATCTGTAGGATATATTCATATCAACTTTTATCTTTCTATCCAAATTATATGCAAATTACTTGCTGCATATATAAAGAAGCGTATAATAAGAATAAAAAAAAAAAAATCGATATATCTTTTAAGATGTTATAATATAATTCATCTTTGCATGCTCTAAATCTTTGATATAGACATCAAAACATAATATCGGCGCAATTTAAATTCCGCCATTTTATAAAGCAAGAGCAATGACCTACACAATTAGAACAGAACAATTTACCTACCCTTGCATACTCTACAAGGGGTTTCCATTCAATGTATAGCTTTAAGGATAAATTTCAGCATCGCAACTCGTCCTAAAGCGGAGAAAGCTTCATGATGTCGCTACGAAGCTCGGTAGACGGTGTGTCATCCAAATCGATGAGACTAGCATTCGAGCCTGTCGAAGAGGGTGCCACGATCTCGTCGAGAAAGTCAAAAGAGGCCACGGCTTCACGTTCCTTGTCTCCATATCGTACGAAGAAATCCTCACCTCGTCCGATGATCGATGGCCTCGATGAACCCCAGGTTGACGGCAATCGTAATACACGATGTGCCTGGGCCGCCGATGCTGAGAAATCAAGCGCAGCGGGTCAACATGCCTCAGACCTCACTTGATCTCTTTTCTCTTTCTTCCTATACCGGCTCTAGCAGACACAGAGTAGCTCGGCTTAGCACTCTTACACGTATCACGTTCCTCTCTCTTTCTCTCCCTCACTCTTCTTTATTTTACTCGTTTATTCATTAATCTTTTTTTCTTTTTTCTGCCTTATATATGATCGTCAATTAATCTCTCTCATGAATCGTTGCTTTCGTACGGAGAGTTTTGCGTATTGGCAAGCATTCGATTTTCCGAATATAATTTCGTGATAGCCAAATAGTATTTAGATATATTTTCTTAAAAAATTTATAGACATTGAATAACTAGAAAAATATTGCTATCGTATATAGATATGTTTGAAAAGAAATTGATATTTTTTTTATTAATACAGATAAATTTATTTGTACAATACTGTTTGGCTTGTCACGAATGATATGACAAATGACGTGACATGATCAATGACGATTGAAATCAAGATTATTATGTTAAAAGTTAATGAATTATGTAAAATTTGTATTACGTCTTCTTTTTTTTTTTTTCATAAGATAATGAATAGTAGAAATATGATCGAAAAATAAGGATAAGTCGAACCCTTGCCAATAACGGAAATTAAAATTAATCAATAGCAATATTTTTTAGAATGAGAGAGAAAGTAACTGTTTTCTGTGTAACCCTTGACGCAATTCCAAACGCACTATTGATTAGATACGATGACAATGTATAATAAATAATATAATGATATATAAAAATATATTTGCATAATATTATAATTTTTAAATATAAAAATTAATCAAGTGATCAAACTTATCATACATTTGCGTACAAATTTCACTCATACCCTAAGTCCTAATGAAAATGGATCCAAAAAGAAAATTATTTCAATAAAAAAAAAAAAAATAATATAAATATATACAATATATTAACACATTACGGACAAGTATTCAAGGAAAATATAATTTTTTAGTACCGAATTTTTCAAAATAATAAAAAAAAAAATATAAGAGATATAAAAATATTCAAAGTATCGTTCGTAATGTGTTAAAATTCAAGTTTATCGAATATATGTTAGATTTTCATTCGTCTACTGATAAAAAATGGAATTGCGTAAAGGAGATTGGTAACGAATTTGTTCTAACGTCTTCTGGTTAATAATCTGTTAGTAAGCCAATAGAAAATCCGTTGTAGCCGTACAGTTCACGTTGGATCAGGCATCCATTCAAAATAGGTCCCGGTGAAACGATTCCTCCCAACTGGCATGTCGATTACAGAAACTGATCGTCACTAAGCCGAACTACGTAGCTTTTCTTGTGACAATCAAAGCACACCGCGTAGGAGCTACCATCTGAACAGAAAACGTGGAAAAGGCTATGTACAGCTAGGGCTACCAGCGTTTGTGTTCTTGTTCCGTTTTCTTTTGTAACTGTACAGTGACGGGGTGTTAATCGACTAAAGCCACTTAACAGCGTGATGTTAACGCGTGTTCGTGTTCGAATTCACGCTAATATACGTGTATATTTCAATCTTAATCATTTCATTTTTTTTCATTTTCATTACTTTAAGTATATGTTAATTCATATTTGATTTATTTTTTTTTATCAAATAAATTTTGTCGGCATATTGAATATAGTAGCGTGATTTTTGACAATATTGTTAGTAATGTTAATTCGAGTATGATAAGCGGAAGCAATTTTTTCTTTTTCATAATGCATTCTTAAAAGAGAAAACGTGTTTGCATTTAAAGAGAGGCAGAAGATACGTAAAAGTTAAAAGTTTGATCGAGACTCAAACTTTCAAATTTTTCATTTTAATAACATTTCATTTTAATACGTGTCTGTTCAATTATATCGTGTCCAGAGAAAAGTATATTTTATAAATAGGAGAAAGTATCTCAGAGTGATGTGCAAGATTGGACAAGAAGATATTCTACTGAGACATCATTAAAAAATACCTTTTTTTTGTCGTCGGTATCGATGTAGTCTATGCAAGTGACGGTAATCAGGTGGTTCATCCCCCGAGTCACTTCCGGCTGATCCGCTGCTCGATGTCGCCGAAGAACTTTCACTGCTCTCTAACATCACGTCTAAAAGATTGGCTCTTGCCTACGAAATTACATATACATTTCACTCGGATATAAATCATTCATTTATTAATTTCATATATTTAAAATATTAAACAAGTACTCACTTTTGGGTCAGTAAAGTCAATATCTCGTTCAACGTGAACCCATCCAGTTGGACAGCAGCAAGCAAGATCTAATTTCTCGAGCGGTACCTGGGTTTCTTGGGTCACAGTGTTTTCCTCACCTTTCCTGATCATTCGATTCAGTTCGTCTATCACGTCCTTCGATGTGGCACGCTCGTGAAAGCTCAGCGACCGGTCCCTACCTTCGACTAGTAGCGATGCTCTTGCTGGACTTACCTAATAAAAGTAAAATGTCAAAATATTTTTCAAAAATTTTATTCTACGAAGTAACAATGAAATTTCTATATTTTCAAACTTACAACCGTGCTTGGTGTAGAAGAAGTAGCAGCTTCTTCGTCTTCTTCAGGAACAGCACCCAATTCGGATGGCGCAACTGTAGTATAAGATACACCACCGTTGCAAGCTACCGCACTGATTATTCTCTCTTCCGGCGCCAAAGAGGGTACGGGTATTTGATCCAGCAAATCATCATTAGTGCTCGTTTCAACGATATTTTCCATGTTACTATTATCTTGATCAACAGGTTCAATTTCGGCGCACATTGCCTCGGTTCCAGACTCATTCTTGCTTTCCATTTCCTCTAAAACTTTTTATATAAAATTTAACAAGGTAATTTAATTAGGTATCCCTAAATAAATATTAAAAAAACGAATATTAAAAAAAGAATGTATACATACCTTCCGTTGTACCGTTATGTTCTAATAGATTGTTTGGTAATTCAGTTAAATACATTTGTTGTTCAGCAATAAAAGACAAGACACTCTGTAAAGCTTGTTCCCTATCCGGTGGAGGTCTTCCGCTTCTCGATGATGTGCTTGCCAAACTTTTTGTGCTCTCGAATTTTACCAGCCTGTAGAAATCTCTGGTGAAGTCGGTGCCGATCGAAGGTGAATCCGGATCGTCGCTGCAACCGGACAGTGCCGCCGAGGATCGTTTACTGGAATTTTCAAACGCACCTTCTTCGCTGCTCCATGAAGTACCAGGACTTGTAGCATATGGCCATGATCCAGTCGCTCTGGCATCCATAAGTAGCGCAACCTAAATAATGAGAATTGACAATAAAAATTGATTTTGCGAATAACTTGAAATATAATTTAAAAAAGGAAATAAGGAAAAGGAGAAAAGAGATTTATATCATATTGCATTCTTACCAATTCGCCTCCTGTTCTATCTGCAAGATAACTGGCACCATTCCACAAGCATTCGTTTGCATCCTCTTCCAATTCCAAAGGATTATGCTCCTTGATTGCAGGAAGCGCTGGGGTCGTAGTGGTGGTGGTGGGTTCTTTCCATACCGTGGATTCATTTTGAACAAGATCCTCGGTAGATAACGAGAAACTCCAATCTTCCAATTCTGCTCTGTCGTATTCCAACTCGAGAAGATCTCGATGTTGTTGAGCACTTCTACTATCGTCCAACCTGAAGTTTATTTGATTAATCTTTTATTTCATCATATAACAAAATAAAATGAATTCGAATTAATTCGAATTATATTGATTCAATACATAAAATAATTTCCAATAAAAATAAATTCATTCAAAGGATCTTTTTTTTCAAAATAATAAACGAACCTGAGCCATTGTTGCACATACTCGGTATCCCAGCCTTCTTCCTCGACTAGAAGTAGAGAGGAGGATCCCATGGGGCTCGATAACTTATACGGTGTGAAATTGGTGGTAGTGGTCAGCTTCAGACATAGATGACTGTCGGAGAAGCTACGCATCACGTGCTGATACGGCAACAAATCTTTGGTCGGGGGATAGCTGTGGCGTGGATTTATTCCTACAGTGAGATTCAATGGCAAAAACAGGACGTCAGGATCGCCGGCGTCGAGGGCGACCAATCGTGCATCCGGTGAAACGTCTGCCTCAGTCTCATCTGTCGCCTCTTTCAGATCCTCCAATCCTCGGGATGGCTCCTGTCGAGCACCCTCACCTTGTACATCGCTGGACATCGTTGAATAACCTTCGTCTCTGTTCCCGCTCTCTGGACTCTCGCTACCTTCCTCTTCTGATGGTTTCTGGGCTGAAATTGGGGCGAAAATTTATCATTTTCGTACTATTATTATTTCACAGACGTACCGTAATATAATCGCGTTATCGATGTTGATAATTATCACAATATATTTTACAAATTAACAATTCCAATATCTTTAATAATTAATAATTTTTATTACCTAGCGGTCTGTTTCTTCGACATTTCGTGGCAGCCATGACTGGTATTTGTAAATTGAGCGAGCGTGGCCTTGACAAGGGAACCCAAGCTGGATCCAGACCAAGGGCGGCCACTACTGCCGCTGGCCCAGCTTCGAGAATCCCTTGAATCAATTCTGTCGGACTTCCAGGATTTGCGGCTTGGGCCAATAATCCTGAAAGCGCCCGATTTTGAGCTTCGAGCTCTCGAATACGCCTCTGCAATGCACCGATTTCTTCCCTGAGACCCTACACATGGTAAAAAGCAATGAGTACTTTCTATTCGTCGAACGCGATTTTTAGAGATGACGAGATAGAAAGCGCGTTAGCGGATGACGAGGATTCCAGACTAGACAATAAAATTGAAAATCGGATCATAACAGACAAGCATTTTTCATACAATAATAGCGTTAAATAAAACAATCTCCTAATTAGTCATTTATTTTTCTACATTCAGAATTTTGAGCATATATAATTTATGTTTATTACTCTGATAAAAACTATTGATAAGTATATTCCTAGTATGCGCGGGTACACACACGCTTGCAGCTTTGTAATCTTGCAGCTCAGCAGATGGATAGATAGGATTATTATATTGAGGTGAAATTTGGTTAATGGATACTTTTAATTGAAAAAGAAAAAAAAAAAAAAAAAAGAAAAGAAAAGAAATCAAATGTAAAATTTAAAATT